GAATTCTGGGAATTGAAGTCCACTCATCTTAAAGTGGCCAAGTTTGGACAACACTGCATTAAGCAGTATCATTTCAAAGTATGAGAATCCACAGGCACAACTGTGAGAAATATTGATAGCCAAGTTAATTAAAATGATTCGCACGCTAAAAATGCAGAGAGCAAAATAATTCCAAAATTAACTTTACATATCTTTTATCATATGTATTCAGTAGGAAGGCGGCTTCTTTCCCTACATATTTTGACGGAATAACTTCTCCTAGTACCCAATCCGCCAATTCTTTTAAATCACTCTCCTTCCTATCAGCCTGAACTCAGGTTTCCAGGAGTTACACATCATTGTCATAGCACAATTACAGAGACAGAGAAAGGCAGTTCCTTAATTTGTGCGTTTAACATCTCTTCTTGCCTTCAGCTTTGTAAATCTAAATGCGGCTGGCATGTAAAAGGAACACAAAGGAACGACTTGGCTTTGTGGCTGAAACCCTTTCTTTCATTCAGCTCCCCCCCGCCCCAGTTTTTTGTTTTTGTTTTGTTTTGTTTTTAATAAAAACTCACCAGGCACCATCCCTGTCAGCGTCGGAGCAGAATAGCTGCCCTGTCCAGCAGGGGGGACGTGTGGAGGGTATCCAGGGAGGGTCGTGCTTGCCAAATCACGACCTGAAGAATCAAACCAACAAATCACCGTGTGAGCATTCACAAGATCTAGACATGTTTTTACATTTCCCTTAACACTCAAAACAGAGGCCATGCATTTGTCATAACTCAACGGCAAATACCAAAGTGGGATGCTCCCCCCTCCCCACCGCCACCAAGCCTTAGCTTTGTCAGGCTTAAGAAAGATTCTCCTTTATTCATAAGCAGCCACAAGTAGGAGACCAGGAGTATAACTGCACATAGTGTTACAAACAAATTAGAAGCAAGGCAGTTTTGAACCTGACTTGTCCCCACTTCTTTTTTAAATATATACTTTAATTTAGTAACACAAAAAAGGGAAGACGGTCATTAAAAAAATAAAACAAGCCACAATCTACTCTTTTTAATCACATGATAAATGCAGTGTGGTTAAACAATAACGGAAGAACTGAAGGATGAGCTGAATACGGCCTGTCAGCGATGGGATGATTATCCCAATAGCTCCTTCCAACAAGGCTGATGAATAGGTGATGTATGTACAGTGTTTAAGAAACACGATCACTGATCTGTTTAATATGGTTGGGTAATATGTATTATGATGTATTGCTTCAGTTTCCCCAACATACAGATATACTGAATTTGGGCAACGCCAGAACATCTGGAGGGCACCAGGTTGCAGAAATCTGGCCTGAGCTAATGCATTAAATTTAATGACAGGGCTATTTGCCCCTCTCTTTGATATGCTCAACGTGACTGATATGAGAACGTTGCACCTTTTGGCTATTTCCACTCAAACTGTCAGTAATAAAAATATGACAAGCTCATTGTGAAGCAGATCCTTACATGAACCATCAGATAATAATAACAAAACTAATTTTGGGTCAGGACAGGAGGCAAAGTCTGTTTTATAATTTTTGACATTCCAGTTAAATATTTTACATTCCAGCTGCATACATCAAAATAAGCTTTTTCTGGATACTGTCTCTAGGATCCCCGTTTGATTAAGTGATTAATACAAGACATTCTCAGTAGGATGAGCTACTAACAGTGCAAGAATTTCGGTGTGATTTCCCTGAATGGTGAAAAACAGAATTTCAAAAGCAAATAGATAATACACAAAGAGATATCCAATAATATTTATTTACATCAGCACAAGAAATGTAGGACAGAAAATTATTTCATACCTATGTCTATAGACAGTTATATAAATATTGGATTATATTTATTGTTTACACTCCACTAATTTGTTGATTTGGGGTTGATGAGTGGTGGATTTATTACTGGATTCTATTTTATGATTACTGTAAACCACCTAGAGTCTTGGGAGCTGGGCAGTGTATAAATACATTATTATTATTATCAGCCCAAATCAATCCACTGTAGGATGAAGGCCTCTTTATTGAAGGTGATGGACAGTTATCTACCACACAAGTCCAGTGAGTATTGGCAGACAGATGTTGTTTTACTTCCTAGTCTAGGGCTGAGAGAGAATGACTGGTCCAAGATTAGGACGGCCCTAACCCTGTTGGCCTTTTGTAAGGCCATGAAGACCTGGCTATGTGCTCTGGCCTGGGGCCCCGAGTGTGTTAAGGGCCCCATTTCTTAGCTATATTAACATCTATGGCAATAGTTTTATTCGGCAACCATATATATTCATTTGTATTGTTTTAATTGTTTTATGTTTCTATGCTGCCCAGAGTCACTTGTCGAGACTCTGAAATCAAATAAATACATGCAAATAAATAAATAAATATTCATTTTCAACATACACACCTAGACTGGAGAAAAAGATACTGCCTGCCTGACCAAATTATACCCAATTTACAGAATCATATCTAAACGGCCACCTGTTATAGTCTTCCTCTACCTGTCTGTGATTGCCTGAATTCTATGCTTCAATGTCACAATATTCTATCCTTCCACCTGTGAAGGAATGTAGATCTGGGCTTGGGAAAGGGGGAAAGAGCAATGAACTGTTAAGAGAGGAGAATCCACAGCTCAGTCCTGGGAAAGTGGAAAGTGTAAGAAAGAAACTCAGAATAACCCTATTTTTATTTGTTTAGCATAAGAAATCTTGATAGGCTTTCATGATTCTGTTATACTAATAAAGAGCACCCTTAGAATCCCTGCTATGCCCCTTTACTCTACCCATCTCAAAGACCTGGCACCTCTTTTCTTTCCTTCTCAGTGGTTCTCAGGCCTTCCTTCTGCTCTTACTCCAATTCTATCCTTTTCTTCTTCTTTCTGCTGGAAGGAGGAAGGGGAATGAGGGGAGGGGTTGCCCTTACATGTGAGTGAATATGAGAAAGAGTGGTTTATATGTATACTTTCTAAATGAGGTACCTTATTTTACAAGCAATTATTTTTAATCAGAACTTACTAATTCAATTATTTATTGTGGAGTCCTTGGGGTTCTCTGTGGTTGGTTGTTTTCTTGCAAATGTTTCATTACCCAGCTAGGGAACATCATCAGCTTCCCTCCCTTGTCAACTTAGGTAACATCTTCAGTGCTAGAATGGAGTGGAGGACTCCATTCTCCAGTGCTAGAACTCCATTCTAGCACTGAAGACGTTACCTAAGTTATCAAGGCAGGGAAGCTGAGTCTTGCACAGAATTTTGATTGGTGTTATTTATTTGTTTGTTTTCTGTCTGCTCTTTCTTTTGTAGGGGGAACATCTTTAGTTCAGGCTCATCTTCCTTGTCAGAAAGTATTGTAAGTACCTATAGATTTCCATGGTGAGAAACCAACTAATTTAGTCTGGGTGCCATACACTATTACACATTGAAAACTTAACAAAAAGGGATGCAAAACTTCAGCTGAGTTCATGTTAAAAACCTAAATGAAGGTCCAGTGAAGAATTTGAATATTATGAGACAGTTAAGCCTAAAACAACCACCATCAACTGACATGAAAGGCCAAATTGCAGATTTGGTTCAGAACTTCTTGAATTCTATCACTTACAGCAGGCAGAGTATTGCATGCATAAATATCTTATGTACAAAAATAACTTGAATCCTAAAAGACTACTATGCTGGAAATATCCCTGCTCTTAATTTCTGTTGCCATAGCTGTGCAATGGGATTACAATGGATGGGGTTGACGGTCAGATATGCATTCCTTTCTGTATTCCATAATTACGCAATACCGCTGCAGAACATGCTCTTTTAAAATAGATAGATTGACCCTTGATGGACAATTTCTTGGCTTTTTATGAATAAAAAAGCTTAGGAAATGATTGTGGGTTATATACAGTCTCATTGGAGAAAAAAGTCAAGTACTAAAGTCTTTTTCTAAGCTATCAGGACAAGGTATAGCAAGACCTGGACATAATGAAATCAGGGAAAAAAAAAAAAGCTGTGGAAGCAAAGAGGTTTTATGTGAAATAGAGTTCTAATGAACCGATGAAGTGATATTTGCTTTGCAATGTTTATGCCACTACATTCACTAACACGAGGACTTCCAGTGTATTATAACAATAATGACAATAAATTATTCCATACAGGCATACCTATAGTTTCAGAAGCAATCAGCAAGAGCAGGCTTTAAATCAGCCAGCCAATCCACAATGACCTTCTTCCCTGGCATGTGCGGTTAGTAAGTACCTGCCATATTGCTGATGGCTTGACTGAACGTCTTTTTTTGAAGGTCTAAGTAGGTGAAACTAATCCAACAGGGTTTTTCCTTTTTTTGTAGAACAAAAAACATGTTATGGATATTACATATTAGCCAGAGGATAATGATAACAGGCATAGTTCTCTTTTTTCCCAGTACTGGCTATCTGGGAAGGTGAA